CTAACATTTATTATTTGTAGATCTATTAATGATGGCCATTCTGACTGGTGTGAGGTGATGCCTCATTTAGTTTTGATTTGCATTTCTCTAATTATTAGTGATATTAAGCATCTTTTCATGTGCCTGTTGGCCATCTGTATGTCTTCTTTGGAAAAATGTCTATTTTAGTCTTCTGCCCCTTTTTTTGATCAGGTTTTTTGTTTTTTTGATATAAAGCTGTGTGAGCTGTTTGTATATTTTGGGACTTAATCCCTTGTCTGTAGTTTGCTAATATTTTCTCCCAGCCCAAAGGTTGTCTTTTTGTTTTGTTTATAGTTTCCTTTGCTGTGCGAAAGCTTTTAAGTTTAATTAGATTCCATTTTTTAAATTTCTGTTTTTATTTCCATTACTCTATGAGATGGAACCCAAAAAATATTGCTACATTTTATGTCAAAGAGTGTTCTGCCTTCGTTTTCCTCTAGGAGTTTTATTATATCTGGTCTTACATTTAGGACTTCAATCCATTTTGAGTTTATTTTTGTGTTTGGTGTTAGAGAATGTTCTAATTCCATTCTTTTACATGTACCTATCCAGTTTACCCAGTACCACTTATTAAAGAGACTGTCTTATCTCCATTGTATATTCTTGCCTCCTTTGTCATGGATTAATTGACCATAAATGTGTGGGTTTATTCTGGGCTCTGTGTCCTTTTCCATTGATCTATCTGTCTGTTTTTGTGTCAGTACCATACTGTTTTATTCCCCCTTTCCATGTATTCGGCCTGCTTTTGGATTAGTTGCATATTTTTTATGATTCCATTTTATCTCCTTTGTTGGCTTATTAGCTGTAACTCCATTTTAGTACTTGCTTTAAGGTTTGTAGTACACATCTTTAAGTTATCACAGTTTACTGCTTTATGTATTATGTCATGCATTTTACTTTTATATGTTATAAGCCACAAACATTAAACAGCTGAGTATCTTTTTAAAGAATTTTAAATAATAAATAAGAAAAATAATCTTTTGTATCTCTTCATGTAGTTAGCATTTATGATAATCTTTCTTTCTATAAATTTATGTTTCCTTTTGAATAATTTTTCCTTCTGCCTGAAGGACTTCTAACATTCCTGTAGTGCAGGTCTGCTGGTGATGAATTCTTTCAGCATTTGTATGTCTGAAAAAAATTTTTTTTTCACTATTATTTTCAAAAGATACTTTTGCAGGGTATAGAATTATTTATTGGTTGACAGTTTTTATCTTTTGGTACTTTAATGATGTTATTGTACTATCTTCTTGCTTGCATTGTTTCCAGTGAGAAATCTGGTGCCATCTTTATCTTTGTTTCTCTGCATATAACATGTCTTTTTTTCCTAAAAATTTCTTTTTATACTGGTTTTAGTAACTTGATTATGATAAAATGATATTCCTTGGTGTAATTTTCTTCATACTTCTTGTGTTTCTTGTGTTTGGGGTTGAGCTTCTTGGATCTGTGGGTTTTGAGTTTTCATCAAATTTGGAAATTTTTGATCTTTATTTCTTCAGAAATTGTTTCTGCCTTATCCCTTTTTCTCTTTTTCAGGAATTCCAACTACCTATATATTAGGCTTCTTAAAGATTCCCTACTATTCATGGATGCTCTTTTCATTTTAAAAAAAAAACACACTTTTTTCTTTTTGTGTTTCATTTTGTATAGTTTCTATTGCTGTGCCTTCAGGTTAACTAAATTTTTCTTCTACAGTGTCTGATCATCTGCTGATTCCATCTAGTATATTTTTCATCTCAGACATTATAGTTTTCATTTCTTGAAGTTTAGCAGTAAGGCTATTCTGGCATGAAAATTCACTATACAGAGTTCCCATGGCATTCTTTAAAGTATGTTTTCAAGGAAGAACCTAAATCAAAGAGTCTTTCAAGGAATTTAAAATATCTAGTAGTTAATTCTTATATATTAAAAGCCTTTCACATGTGTGAACTAGCATGATGTTCCTATTGTAATTGTGATTTTTTTTAAACTTAATATTGCTTCCTTTGCTATTTATTATCCCCTTATATTTAGCTTGATACTTATTACTTTAAAAAGTATGACTGTATTCTTTTTGGAACATCTTTATTCAGTTTAGATTCCTTTACTAAGTTGTACTGACACTTTTTTAAAATTTTTGCTTAATTGCATTTGTAAATGGCCAAAGTATTGTGCCTTTATAAATAGGCAAGAATGCCAAGGCATTTTCTATGTCTAGTTTAAGAAAAAGAGGCTATAAATTCTTGAAGAGTGGGCAGTTATCTTTGGAATTATTTGATGTTTTAAGGTTATTCCTGATTAAGCTTTTGCCTTGCCAGAGAGGTTTGCTTCATTTATTAATTTTCTTTCTTTCAGAGGAGTTGTAACTCTGAAAATTTAAGAACAAAACCCAAGCAGTAGTAATACATCAATAGTGGGTGAAAAATATTTAAAATATACTTTGTCTAATATTGGATAGTCATTGGAATTTTTAACATCTTCTGGGACAATTCATAAGAGTTTTTAATTATTTTCTTAGGTAAAAGTGATACAAATAATCCTGGACCTGAAATTAATAAGATTCGAACACCAGAGAAAAAGCCGGCGGAATCAAAACAGGTATGCTGCTTACATGTAGTGCATGTATTGTTTTAATGGATTTAGTTTGATTGATCATCTTGGAATCTTGATGTTTTAAAGAAAATTATGTACCTTTTTATGTCTATCTTTTACGTTTATCGTTTTATGAGGATCTGGTGGGTCCTGTTGCACTGTCTCCCTCTACCTTTTCTTTGGCCACATTATTTTATTTATCAGAATACTTTTCTTAAATTGTGTTATTCAATGATAGACTTGAATTTAGAGGCTTTCCTTGATAAAGTAGTAAATGAAGACACAGCTATAGATGTCTCATGAAAAATTATGTCAGAAGGGGAAGCGCTGGTACAGCGAAGGAGGAAGAAGTGACCTCCGCACATCCCGCACCTTGTTCTCTCGTCACACCCACTGCAGAAGTCCTTAACCCTTAGTCCACTTGTTCATCTGCTTTCTCTGCTTCTGTGCTTGTGACCCAGTTAGGGAAAGTCAAATCATTGGTTGAATTAGTGCTGCTCAAAATTCATGTTTTCCAATCTCAGGGAACCC